AAATGATGCTGAATGCCTGTATTGTGGAGAATCATACTCAACGTCGACAGAAGGCTGGGTGCAGTGTAGGGTATGTAAAAAGTGGGCACATTGCTCATGTGCGGGTGAAGATGATAATGACAAAGAATTATACCATATTTGTGATATTTGTAAACAAGTTCCTAAAGTAAAATAGTAAGTATTATTAAAATTAATTATCTATAGTCTTAAATATTTATGTTTGTATTTTTATATATTTTTAAAAGTTGAATGATTATGTTGTAATTGTATATAATGTTTTAAAATGTTGAGTGATAATGTTTTGTATTTTATATATTTTAAAAAGTTGAATGTTTATGTTTGTCATTTTTTATGCTTAAAAAGTTGAATATTTATGTTAATTCCTATATTTTGTTTTGTAATATATGATTCAGATTTGTTTATCTTATTTAGTGTTTTATGAAAATACCTTACCTAGTATTCTAAAGTAGATGTTATACATACAACTTCTAATCAAATATGACAATAGCTATATGGCTTAGACATTTGATACTTAATACATATAACTCCTTTTCCTGAGAAATGTAAATATACATCAAATTAACATGATTGATATATTTTTACATTATTAAAAAAAAAACCATAACAATATGTTATTATCTATATAATATGAAATAAAGTGAAATTGTTATGAATAAAAACCTATGTCTCATCTTACCCTACTCGTGTCCCATCTTATCTCCACAGTGGTCCATGATGGGACAAAACCCAATTTTAAGTCAAGTACAAATATTTGCATAATGAATAATTATATAACAAAACTGATTGAAAATTTAGAAACTACATATAATTTTACATAAAATTCAAATCTTTGTTTTAACAATTAAAATTTATAAACAACCCATTTAATGCCATTAAAGTTAGGTGTCCCATCTTACCCAGGTTTCCCCTATTTTACCTTGTTTAGCTCCTACAACTTCTAAGCTCTTGTTATTACAGTATTTAATATTAATATTAAGAACACTCGAGTACTTGACGATCCACACTGCCCACAACAACAATGGAAGAATAGTGTTAACAATTACAACAAATGGCACATTGTTATATTATTTATATTAGGTAAGGCGAAATACAACTTCAACACCTTATATCCTCATAACGAGGACGAATAATACGATAAGCGAAGGCATAGGCTGGCAACAGCGGGAACCGTTGCCCAGTATACGACGTACCTATAGTACCTCGGCATAGTATGTGGTCGAGCACAATATATCTTTGCTTCAAAAATACTTGACCTTTTTTGCTAATATATTTGGTTTTACAAAAC